GGCGTCGGCCATGCTGCTATGGCCTTGACCTTGTCTGGGTCAGCCCGAACGCCCACGTTGCTTACGAGGCAACCGAGAACTTTAATCTCTGGTGACGCGAAAACGCACTTGTCGATGTTGGCGTAGAGCTTGTTCGCTCGCATCACGTCCAACACTCGACGGAGGTGTCCTAGATGCACCTCCATGGCCGTCTTGCCTCCATCGGCACGGCTATGGACGAATATGTCGTCGAAGTACGTCTGTACGAAGGTACGCAAAGGGCGGAACAATTGCGTCACCAGGCGATTGAACGTCGCCGGGGCGTTAGACAAGCCCTGCGGCATGACGAGCCACTCCCAAAGCATGCCGCTTGGAGTGCTTACCGCGGTGAGCGGGATGTCACTCTCTCGCATCAGGATTTGGTAGTATCCGTAAATCCAGCGCACTGTACAGTACGCTCCCGGCCATGTTGTTCAACAACACATCCTTTCGTGGGATCGGTGTTTGGGCCGGCACCGTTGCGTTGTTCAGCTTGTTATAAGCGTGAACCAGACGCCACTTTCCGTTCGGCTTCCGAACGCAGAAAGTCGGCGTCGAGTGCGGGGATTTCGATTCCCGCACCATGCCTGCCTTCGCTTTCGCGGCGAAGAAGGCATCAATGACCTCGCACTGTTCGCGCGGGAGAGGCCATTGCCTCGTGACACAATACTTTGTGCCGGGCACGAGATCAATCTCGTGCCGTACGCCTCGATCCGGTGGGAGTTGGGTCGGTGAGTGTTTGTTCACCACGTCCGCATACTCCGTCACCAAAGGATACACCGGATCCTTGGGGTTCTTGAGAATCTCAGAACCCAAGCGCGCCTGACGCTGCTTGTTCATGTCTTCCAGGACGTTCTCGTCCAAGACAGAGGAGGAGTTCAGCTCCTTCTGAGTGGTCTCAGGTCTCATGAGTACCATCTCAGCAATCTCTCCAGCCTTGAGGTTGGCCAGGAAAGACTCAGCCGTCATTTCCTCGAGGTTCAGTATCTCCGCAACTTCTGGCAACGGTTCCAAGTGGATACCAGATGCCTTGACGGGTAAACCTGTCTCGCCATCGAAGATGTGATAACACTCTTCCACCGGCCTTGTCGGAGGAGCCCGGGCCCTGGACTCCGAGTCGCTTGAAGCGACGTCGATCGGAACGAAGTTCGGATCCGACTTGAGGCGGCGGCGGTGTCTTTGCCGACGGTGTCTGTGACGGGGAGCTTTGCTGCCCACGTCTAGGGATGTCGTCGCTACGACATCCGAGGCACTCGTGGCCTCGTGTGATACTGTTGTACCCACACAGGACCGTGTTCAACGCCTTCCTCTTCAGTTAAGGTCTGGGCGACCGCGTGTGGCACTGTGTTACCCACACAGGAAGCGTATCCGACGTCTTCCTCTTCAGTTGAGGTCTGGGCGACCGTGAGTGGAACTCTGTTACCCACTCTGAGCACGCTGTTCTCAGTGGTCATGACAGCTGCAGCTGTCTGCGGAACTAAGTTACCCGCCTGTGGACCTAAGTTACCCACTTGGCCGACGCCTCTTCTGGGCGCGGCCACCATCAAAACATCCTTGGAGTCGTCATATACGTCGACGACTCCCAAGCATCTGCCGGATGCTTTGGTACCCTGCACCCCTCGCGGGCGCCCCGGGTCCTGACAGAGGTGGGAACATGACTCACCAATGCTCTGTCGGACTGCGCAGGGCGGCTGGCACCGATTGCCTTGCCTCGCCAGTCGATCCAGGGCTCGTGCTTCTCAAGCCAGGGCATGCCCAGGATCATATCATATGGATCCATATCAAGAACAGTGAACTGTTCGAGGCTGTCAAAGTCTTCAAACTTGACAGCCAGATCCACTTGGACGTTGGGGACAGTGACGACCTTCCCGTCGGCCAGTCGCACTGACACCGTCCCGTTGCCCTTGCTTTCTCTCAAAGCTTCGGACAGCTTGTTGCTGTTACAAGCAACCGTCTGGCGGCGTGCGAAATTCTTCGACGCCCCAGAGTCAATCAAGATTCTAAAGGGATGATCGTATCCCCGTACACATCCGTGTACTACGAGCAACCCGCCGCTGCTCTTCGCCGTATCGAGAGTGCGAAGACTCTCAGGGGCTAAGTCCCCGTGGTACGCGCCACCTGCGCGCCCTTCATGAATACTTAGTTCTTCCCATATAAGGCGCCTCGCCCCTACTGGTTCCCAGCGTTCCCCTGTCCCCGGGGTCCAGGCTTCTGCCAGCGACCCTTGAGGACGGGCTTGGGGAAGGACCGTCTGCGGAGTCTTTCCGCAGGACAGTCGCGCTTGAAGTGGCCCATCTTCCCGCAGCCGAAGCAGCGGATGTCACGCTGTTCGGCGGACCCGAGTTCCATGGGAACTGGTCCGTTGGGGCTTATTCGGCCGGGAGCCGACAGGGAACTCCCAGGCCATGCTGAGGCCGGCGTACGCGCCTGGCGATGGCTGTACTCTTCTTGAAGAGCCACTTGAATCGCCTCTTCAAGAGTGCTTGACTGCACCCGGAACAGCTGAGTGCGTGCGGGGCCCACTCGAAGGCCGTCCATGAGCACAGTCATCTTGATGTGTTCGTTGAGTGGGTTTCCCACTAGGGACGCCGTAAGCTCCCGTATCTCTTGCATATACTCGTGCAGTTCGCGCCTCCCTTGTTTACACGCGAGGAAGCACGAACGCTGGCGGTACTCGTAGTTTGCTGGGAGGAACGCGGCTCGGAGCTGTTCGCACAGCTGAGCCCAGGATGTGAAACATCCAGGGGATGTTGCTTCCCGTGTGTACACCCAACTCTTAGCACGGCCGCTAAGATTGGAGAGTGCAAAAGCAACACGCAATTGCTCGGTCGAGATCAGAGCCGCGTCCATCGCGAGCTCTACTTCTCGGACCCAGAAGTGAAGGCTCTCGCCTTCCTTCCCTTCATACGGCTTAACCTTCAGCCGTATTGGCTTCGGGTGAGGCGGATTTGCTTCCGCCGCCGGAGCCTGCAGGTTCTCCCGCACATGCGCGATGAGGCCCTGCTCGTACGCGTCGAATGTATTGACGCGCTCGAGCTGCTCAGCCGGTGTTGACACCACCAGGCTCTGCAGGGCCGCCATCCCGAAGATGTTTGCCATCTTCCGAACCGACTCGAACTGAGAGTCGTTCAAATGGGAGAAGTCGTTCCAATCCATGGCAACGAACTTCGGAGGTTCAGGTAGTCTACCCGCGATGGCGTGGATTGACTACAAGTGCTACCAAGTGTGACGGGGTCACACAGCACCTTGCGCAAGAGGAAGTTATCTTCCGAGAGTATACAAACTCTCAGTGAACGGCAGTTCACAGGTCCCCTCTTTTATTAAAGAGAGCGAAGTGACCCAAATAAGGTAGATTGTAAACTGAGTATATTTATAGGTAGATTAAGTTTGGGTTTAATACAAACTGTTAGTTACCTATAGAAATGCAATGTCATTTAACCAATGGTTGGCTTTGAGCGACCTTGGTACCTTGTACCAAATATCTCGGAGTATGACGTGTCATACTCCTGAAGTGTGAAGTGTCACACTTCATGTAACCAGGATACACTTAGGGCTACGTACCCCGTTACAGTAGTGGCCAGTTATAGAGGTTCAAATAAGGAGGTGTGACTGTACCAAATATGTGTCATACTTCCGAAGTTTGACGTGTCACACCTCATGTAATTTGAGGTACACTTGGCTAATACGTACCTCGTTACAATCCCCATTTATTCATCAGCGACCGGCGTGATACGTAGGAGTGCTTCCGTAGTGAACTCGGGAATAGCAGCGTAGTCAATACCGTCCTTAAACGACATCAATCTACGTAAATCTGCCTTGTATCGATTCTTTGCTTCGAAGTCTTTGTGCTGATGTGGGAGATCTGACACCAACTTTTGCAACCGTTGTCTATATATCTTGATTGTTGTATTAAGCATAATTGCACCCGTATCGCCTCCCTCAGTGCAACCAAAGTTGCAAACCGTTCGTCGGTTTTGTCGCCGTATTGGTAGGGGGCATCTGGCAAATACCGGTGTAAGCTGCAATAAGTGACCAATCACTTCGTGAAAATACAACTCGGACCGCTCGCTACAATTAGATGAAGGCTGTGCGCGGTTGAACATGCAGCGATGCTGGGAAACGGACTGTGTCGTAGCATTTCGTGGACCAAACAGGAGTTGCCACGTAAGCCCGCAAAGCCTTCAACCTGATAAGCCAGCGTATAGGTCGTGGCATTGCAGTCAACCCGTGCTCCAACGACAGTGTGCTCGAAAACACGAGAAAAGAAAAATGACTTAGTCGGATAAAAAGCAAAACAATCTGGTACATACTCCACACGCGACCAAGTTCATGCTTGACAACGCTGGTGTATGCAAGTTCTGCTTCGAATTCGGAAGCAGTTGAAGTTATTGTCGTATTGACAAGACCGCGATTACCCCAAGAGGCTTTGCGCCATGCTCGAGCAGCGGCTGGCCTGTTGCTGTTGGTGACGAGCTGAGCCATGAAGAAGTCAATACGGCGCGCAACCAACACTGGGCCACTGCGCATCGGAAAGTCCTAAGAGCTGAATCCGTAGTACTGGCAACGGACCACTGACTACGGAATCCGTACTATAATACGGACTCAGCTCCTTGGACTACGAGCTACGAAATCCTTACTTTGTACTCAGCTCCTCGGACTTTCCGATGCCCAGTGGTCAGTGTCGGTTGCACCGTATCGACCGACCTCTTCATGGGCTCCGTAGTACGGAGTCCGTACAGACTTGCTCTGTCGTACGTCGCATTTATGCGCAGTAATGCACATGGTCGTGGGTTTGCGGCCCGTTGTCGGATCTTACCGAGTTGAAGTCAAATACTGCTCGTCCGTTGGCCCACGGTCCGAGGGCTGGGGCTCAGAGGCTTTCTGGCCGTGTAGAGAGTTTCGAGCAGAAGAGTGCTGGTCTGGCACAAGTGTAAATCGACTCAAAACTTTTTGGCAGCAACAAGCCAATCGAGAAATCGCGAGACAGGCGCGAAGCAGATCGGAACCGCCTCGCCTGAACGCAGCAGCAACAACTGACACAACTACAACGACAGACCGACCGTGCGCAGTCTCGCATCGAGGAGTGGACCCAGTGCAAGTGTTGCTGGTCGCCCCCAAGAAACACGAAGAACAAGAGAGCAAAGAGACCGCGGAAGATCGCGTCGAGCCCGAGAGCGAACCCGTCCCGTCCTCTTTACGACACAGCACCACAGACAGTATGGCTGGCTACAACGAGGAGTGGGTCGACGTGCAGAAGAGCACCTTCACCAGGGTAAGCGCGGCAGCTGCGAGAGGGGGGGGGGTAGACGTTTACCTAACTGTTATGATGCTTCTGTAGTGGGCCAACACGTACCTGTCGCGCAAGCGCATGACCATCGATGACCTGTACGAGGATCTGAAGGATGGTATCCGCCTCATCTCGCTGCTGCAGATTATCTGCCGGGAGAAAGTGTGCCGCGTACGTCACACATCTTGGAAGGAGGGGGGATGCTCAAAACTTGTAGTGCTTACCAGCTTCCTCTTTATCTGCTGACAGAAATTTAACAAGAAACCTCGCATGCGTATCCAAAAGATGGAGAACCTGAACTTCGCCTTCGCCTTCATGCAGAAGAAGAACGTCAACGTGACGAACATTGGCTCTTCGGACATCTTGGATGGCAACAACAAGCTGGTGCTAGGCCTAATGTGGACCCTCATCAAGGCCTTCCAAGTGGCCGAGATCGACGTCGAGGGCGTCTCTGGCAAGGACGGATTGCTGCTCTGGGTCAACCGCTCACTGGCCGACTACCCCACGGTCGAAGTCAAGAATTTCTCTAGCAGTTGGGCCGACGGTATGGCCTTCTGTGCCCTGATCCATCGCTATGCACCCACACTCCTCGACTTTAACTCGCTAAACCCCAAGGACGCCCAGACCAACGTTAAGCTCGCTTTCGACATTGCCCGAGAGAAACTCCGGATCCCGCAGCTGCTGGAGGTGGAGAACGTGGCTGGACAAGCCAAACCTGACGAGAAGAGTATCACCACGTATGTGTCTCTGCTCTTCAAGGAATTCGCCTCGGGTGTGCAGAAGAAAAAGGCTGTGACGACGATCTCCAAGGCGCTGAACATCGCGCAGCGTCATCAGGAACTGTCCGCAGAGTTCAACAAAAACGCCTCGGGTCTGCTGGAGTGGCTACAGCAGCAGACGGAGCGTTTCCAGACGCTCAGCCAGCCTCGTCACATCCCGGACATCAAAGAAGCGCTGGCGCGTCACCTTGAGTACAAGAAGAACGAGAAGCCTCCGCGTGAGGCGCAGTTTGTGGCTGTGGAAGGCTGCGCTGGGCGCTGGATTGCCAGTTGCAAGAACAACGGACGCGCCGTGCCCAACTTAGACCCTCCGATTGAGAAATTACAGGCTCTGAAGGCTCAGCTGGACGAGTTGGAGACGGCTTTCGAGTTGAAACTGCGCCAAAACTTGGAAAGCTACCAGAAGACTGAGATTTTCCTTAAAAAGGTGGTTAAAGACTTGGAAAAGGTTGAGTCCTGGGCGAAGGAGAAGGAGGCGTTGTCTCTCTTTGCTGAAGATCTGGGCGTCACGTCCACTGCCGACGCGGAGGAGAAGCTGGAGAGCGTGGCATTTCTGCAGGACATTGAGCTTCCACGCTATAAGCAGCTGCTGGCTACAGTCGTGAGTGAAGCTGATGGACTCTCAGAGGAGCACAACGAGACCAAGGCCACGCTGGAGCGAGTGGAGGCAATGAAGAATTTCGTGGAGATGGCTGAAGACAAGGTGGAAGGTGTGAAGATCAGACTGCAAGAGAGTCTGCGTCTGCAGCAGAACATGGACGCCGTTGCGAAGGATGCCAAGACATTGATGCGGAACCTCAAGTACGTCATCGAAGAGATGGACGAGGAAGTGGAGGCGGCCACAAAGCTCCAGGACGTGTCTACAGCAGGTGTGGTTGCTGCCAAGCGTCAGTTCGATACAGTGCTCGTCCCCAAGGTTCAGAACGCGGTGGTGAGCGAGAACGAGAAGCTGATTGCGAAGAAGCAGATCCTGGCCGAAGCTGGTCGTGAAAGCGATGTGGCGCTCATCGAGAAGACGAATGCTCGTGTGCAGAAGTTGCTGGACTCGCTGGCTGAGAAGCGTGGCTACTACGAACAGGAACTCGCTACTGTGGAGAAGCGTGACGAAATTTGCCGTGAGTTCGCCAACTTGTCTGCCCGCATCAAGGAACGTTGTGCTCAGAGCACGCAGTCGATTAACGTCGTCGAGGGGTCACTGAAGGACCAGTTCAATTCGATGGTGAAGCTTCGTTACCGCCTGTTTCGAGCTAACACTGGCGTTGCACTGGAGGAAGAAATGGAGGGGAAGCCTGCAGACCCAGAGATCACTGGAGTGGAGACTTCTGTTACTCAGGAGGTCGCTAAACCCGCCGCTGAAACTGTCGCTCCGGAGAGTGAGGAGGGGGACGAGGCTAAGGATGCGGCCGCTGAGGTTGAGGAAGCTAATACGAAACAGCTCGAGGAAGCCAAGGCGATGGTCGTGGAGATCATTGTTCCGCTTACCGAAGACATGGAGAAGCTCGAGCGTATCCACGAGGAGCTGGAGCGTCTGCAGGTGCACACGAACCCGTTCACCACAGACACGATCCACGGTCTGCGTGCTCAGTTCACGTCGCTTGAGATTGCTGTCCGTGATAAGGTCAAGTCACTTGAGAAGGAGCTGGCTCTGAGCGAGGTGGGCAGTCTGACTCCCGAACAGGCGAAGGAGATTAAGGAAGTGTTCGACCACTTTGACTTGGACAACGATGGTGTCCTTGCTCGTGACGAGTTCATCATGGCATGCAAGGGTCTCGGTCTGAGTCTGAGTGAAGACGACTGCCACGATTACTTCGATAAGATCGATGTGGAGGACAATGACGAGATCTCATTCGAGGGGTTCGCCACCTTCTGTACGCTGCAGTTGCAGAGTGGATCCACAAAGGACGACGTGCACGAGGCGCTGGACATTCTCACGGGGGACGAGCTCAGTCTCGAACAGATCCAGGAGCGCTTCGACGCAACCCAGGTCGAGTTTATCAAGAAGCACCTTCCGGAGCTCTTGGAGGCCGACGGTAAGTCGGTGGACACGGACAAGTTCACGGACTTCATCTTCAGCGTGTAAGCACCCACGATCCAAGACCGCAGCCTCGTGTCAGGGTCACGTGGTATCGCTGTTTTCTCAAGCTTGAGCCTCTCACTTTTTCAAGGCGCTAAATTTTTTATGGCTCGAATTTTTTTAGATGAAAACCAAATTTTACTATGACAATTCAAACGTGTAGGAGACGACGACTGGCTGGTTGTCATCTTCCTCTATAGCTTTGCCGTCTTTTGCGTCGACTTCGTTGTGTTTGGAGCGACGATTCTTCCTGTAGTCCGTTCCACTTACCTTCGCTTCTTTGGCTTCGGCGCGTTTGGCGTCGTCGATGCTGTAGAGATGACCTTTGCGCAATCCTGTGAAGTAGGTCGTATCTCGAGAGGGATTGGTCCCTTTAGTTTTGCTGGTTTGGCAGCTCAAATCGCCTGGTAAGTATACCTGAGTATCGACCTCGCGACGGAAACTACTGAGCGCTGTTTGTGCGCCTACGGTGCGACAATGTCGGAGGTTGGCGATTTTGATGGCTTTGCGACGGAGATTCCACTCGTTCCAGTCGTAATTGTAGTCGATGCGCTTCTCCATGAAGTGTGTGGGTGTGGCAGTGCTGGCGTCTACTTTCTGTGACGGTAGTGGGGCTAGCAATAGATGCATCCCTCGAGCTCCTTCAGCACGGTAGCGATGGCACATTTTGAGAAGCGAAGACAACGTGATGTTCGGGAAAGACTCTTGCAGACGTAGCAGATAGATGAGGGCTGGTTGACGACCTGCACGACGCAGAACTCCTTGGACGTAGCGACGTGGATGAATCATGAACTCGCCTAGTGCACGTTCATTGACGAAAACGTGGTAGGCATTGCGATACTGGACGACTCCCAGCGACGGATCTCCAGGCAGCAACAGGCCTCCACGCTCCACTACTGTCCATGGACAGAAGCCTTGATAATCTAGTGGCAGTTGCATGAACTCCGGTGTCGATTCCACTGGCATCCGAATGGGAAAGCCCGAGCCTTCTTCCTCGCTGGGATTGCTGTTGTCTTCGTCGCCATCTAAATCTTCACCTTCCAAGCCAAAGCTCCGCGTTTTGCCATCAACAGCAAGTTGACTTTCAACAGGAAACGTCTCAACATGAGAAAAGAGATCTTCAGGCGGGATGGAGCCTCCACGTCGTGCTTGTCGTACGATGGGGGACTCAGATGAAAGCGTGCGTGTAAAGGTCGACTTGAAGCGTAGCAAGGATCGTAGAGCGCGAGCACGAGCCTGTAGCAGTTCGTGCTCTTGGTGCAGCTCAGCCCACGAATGGGAGACAGCTTCAAAGAGCGGGTAGACGTGTGACTTTGGCAGTGACGTCCGAGCCCCCACAAGATTCTGCAGTGCGCTCATATCGGCCTGGAACATCTGAAGTCGCGTGCCAACTTTCTCGTGGGAAAACGCGATGTCCTCTTCAAGGCTCTGCAGGTAGGAGAGGAACTGTCTTCGATTGCTCAGCTCGTCTTGCCATCGTGCGATTTCGTCGAGACTTGGCGATGGCTCCGCGGAGTGTGCTTCCTCCCCAGTTCCTAATTGGTGGTGCACATGCAGAAGCACCTCAGTGTACTGTGTACAGATCTCGTTGGCATCGCGAACCTCGTCTCGCACAAGTTTTGCCAACGCTGCAACACTTTCCTGGATATCTCGGGCGCTGGCTGCAATTCCCGCGCCACCTTTTCCCAGTTCCTTGTTGAATAAGCGGATACCCTCAACGATACGCATGAGTTCATCCAATTGAAAGCGCTTGTCATCAGGAGACATCGTTGCAAAGGACTTCAAGCCGATGCGTGGGAAAACACTCTCTAGTGCTGCAGCCACCTCTTTCTCCATGGAACGACGCTCTGCTTGTTCCTGCTTACTGGAACAATTAGATTTCCCTTTACATGTGTTTTCACCGTCGTCATCGTCGTTGATGTTGTTGCTTCTGCTGAGTCCATCTGCATCTAGCATCAACAGTGTGAAAATGTGCTTGTACAGCGTCGAGAGCGTCTCGAAGTCAGTGGCTTTCTCCGGCACAAGTGAGGAGATCGTGCGCTGCAGCTTGACCACTGCTTGCTCCTTGCGCTCTTTTCGTGTGCGCAATTCCTCTTCGAGATTTGCGTATGTGAAGTCGAACTCGAGCTGCATCTTGACGGTCTCCATGGCTGGATCATCATTGCGCAATAACGCTTTTTCGCACTGCTCCGTCAGGTATAGTTCATCCTGGGGGGACATGGGCTGCTCTAGGACGAGATGACGCTGACTGCGATGCACAACCAACCGCGCTATAAACGCAGCAAGCGTCTCAGACACCTCCACGCCGCGGTATTGGCATCTCGCCACGATATCTGCCACCACGCGCTGAGCATTCTCCATGATTGTCTAGGGATGAAAAAAAACCCTGCAAAATGCTAACTGATGACCGAAAGGAACGATAATGACCCCAGGGCATGGGAAGCGCGCTACCGGTATCTATTTCCATGTTAATCGGATTTGTCCACAAAATGAGGGAAAGTGAAGTGGTTATTTTTACGGCACCCCTCGCGTCCAGGTTTTTCCAAACAGGGAATTTCCAGGTGTGCGTCCACGTATTTTCCAGTTGTAACTAAAACCGTTTTTCTTACCGTAATTTTTCTTTTGGCCTCAGCCACTCAGTTCCAGGGGGGAAGCGTGACACGTGGCGGACGGCTGGCAGCGCACCCGGAGGACACCGGAGCGCCCTCGGAAGACCCCACCATGGCGCGAACGCACAAGACAGCGATGATCAAGGCGCAGATGGCGGAAGAGGCACGCAAGGAGGAGGAGGCTCGCAGAATGGAGGCAGCCCGGCTCGCCGGTGTAATGGACGCTCGTACCCGCGCGGCGAGATCCCAAGCATGCCAGCGTGCTGATGAGATTCGTGGCCAGTTTGGCCCTCACGCTGTAGTCGACGAAGAAGATAGTGCCAGCGAGGGAATGGATGGTGATTCAGCGGACGCTCTGGCGGAGGTACCAGGGCACGAAGAAGGTGCCAAAGAATGTGTTTCTGAAGCGTCAAGAGATTCGAAGGAGGGGCCGGCGGAGGAGGAGGAGGGTGAAGAAAGCCAGGCATCGGACCAAGAAAACCGGGAGGAGAATACTATTCAGACAAACAAATTGCGGCAGACCGGTGCGAACCGGCAAGGCAAAAAGAGGTCGGCTTCCATGGTAGAAGACGAAGAGCTGGTCCAGGCCCCCCGTTCAAGGCGGAACACGAATCCTGGGCGGACCTCGAAGTGAGTTTAAAGCAGTACATGGATTCGACGCGCCAGAAGATTGTGATCAAAGAGGTGATCGGAGTTTCGCGCCGTAATGCTGACCTCCGTGCACAAGTACGCTACAATGGTCGCCCTGATTCTGAGATCCCGTTGGTGCCCGTAGAAATGGAACCGTTTCAGCGAAAATATATTTGCACTCATGGCTGGCCGGAGCGTGAACGATCGTCGGGTAAGAGGACTTCTCACACGCTGCGCCGCACAGAGTGTCCGTTCCAGATGCTGGCCCAGGTTTCGAAGAAGGACGATGGCACATGGTGCATCAAGATGAAGCGTGAGGTGTACTCTCATAACCATTTCGTCTCCGAGGAAGTTTACAGGTATTATCCAGGTATTCACCAGGTTCCTGCTGATTCACCGCTTATGCCCGGGATTGAGTTGCTTGTGGATGCGCAAGCTGGAACCTCGAGTATTTACGACTACATTCGCAGCAACTCAAATCACTCTGTCACCATGGATGATGTTCGCAACTTGATAGCTAGGATGAAGAAGTCAGGTAAGTTATGCTAGTGTGGTATTGGGTGGGAAATGTCCTGACTAACTAAGAACTGTGTATCTATCTAGATGTTGATCTTTCTGATGATGACGCTGTTGCAGAGATGATCTTGGACTTTAACCAGGAGTCACCAGCTAATGTGGCCACGGTGAACGAAAGTGCGCACGGCGACACCGGAGTGATATCGTTCTCGAGTGATCACATGCGTGCGATGCAGGACAGCTTCCCAGAGGTGCTCCAGATGGACTGCACACACAAGACGAACAAGTGAGTTTCTTCATAGTATTTGGTGAAAAATGTTCCAGTTTTTTTTCAGGTTTTTATCAGATATTAACAGGGTTTCTGTATAGATACAACTACCAGCTTCTGAGTATCGTTGCAATGGATCAATTTGGTCAAGGTCAGCCCGTCCAGTACTCGTTGATGGAGACAAACTCCGATTGGCACATGGCGAAAAGCTTGGATCATTTTAAACGAGCGAACGAGCAAATGTTGCCCCCAACAGATGAGGAGAGTGGCGTTGGTGACAAAACACTCTGCTCTTTTGTTAGAGGAGTCGAAGTGCAAGATTTCGTTCTTTTGCCTGTTAATCTTGGGGGTGTTCACTGGAGTGGTATAGTAATCGATCGAGGTGCCAAACAAGTCAAAGTGTACGACAGCATGAATGGCAAGAAGCACCGGAAATCGTTGCAACTGCTAGTGGCGAAGATTTTGGTGAAGGCAACGAAGGATACAACTTACTCAGTCCTGGAAGTAGTGGACCCGATCCAGAAAGACAGCGACAGTTGTGGTATTTTCGTTTTCCGTTTCTTTTGGAGTTGTGTGAGCGATGCAGCTCCAAGTGACGTCTCGGCGAAAGGGTTGACCAAGCTGCGTTGGTCAATGCTGCACGCAATTTTGAAGATGAAGCGGAAGTAGTAAGCCAGAAGAAGAGCAACAGGTGGTCTAGCAGCTAACAAATAACAATACATGGGCTATACCTGGGAACCAACCGGTAAATACCTGGACTCACATTATGCAGCTGGACAGTGTCGGCGCCTGTGGCGCCGACACTGATCAGCTGCGCTCACTTCGGATTCTTCGCAGGTAGATCACATATGTATTCCCCAGGTATTATCCCTGGACAATACCTGTGTTTGGGGCAATGTCTGATTGGCTCCACCTCTATCTGCAACGCTATACTGCCGTCACTTTGACTTTTGCTCAAGTCTCGCACACATGCTTTTTCCGGGGTTTTCCTACTGGAGAATACCTGGTCGCGTAATATATCCGCTCGGAATATACTACGCGCGACTGATTCCACTCTGTATAAGGAAACCTCGAAGAAACATGGGGGTATCCCTGGACAATACATGGAGAATCAGAAATCTGAGTATTTTCGAAATCTGGAAAACCTGGACGCGAAGGTCGTCCTTATTTTTATGCTGCCCCGCACAACACAACATCTCCATTGGTCTAAATGTTTTCATCCATTTTTAACTAATCAAAATAAAGTACGCGTTTTGACGGTTCACACTTGCAGTGTCCAGTTTCAGTGTCTGATAGTCCAGTGCAACCGATTACTGACTTTTGTGCCATTTTGGGAGAATCAACCGAGGAGATCTCGGTGTCCTCTTCAGCTTATCTGGTGCTGCTCTCGTGTGATTCTCCAGTTTTTCCATACAAAACGCACGCACCGCTACTCTCTGTGTGCGATCGTGCTGGCCCCATCCAAATCTGTACGCTACAGCCTGCGAACGGCTTCTTTGAACCCCAGGGTCCGCAGCCATGGCAACGACTTCTAGCGACGTGGAGACCGCAGTCGGAGTTCCTGTACTGAAGACCCAGCGCTCGCTGTCGCTGAATCATGGACAGAGTCTGTCGCTATCGCTGCTGAGTATGGAGGGCGGTGTGTTGAGCCAGGCGTCATCTCGCTCCCACGAAGAAGTGACACGGGAGTTGCGTGTCGACACCAACTATGGACTCAGTGAGCTGTCAGTGTGCGAGCGACAACGTCAGTGTGGGCTCAACGATCTGGCAGGTGACGAGGAAGAGTCCATGCTCATCAAGTTCGCAGGACAGTTCAAAGACCCGCTTATCATGCTGCTCATGGGCTCGGGAGTCGTGAGTGTAGCCATGGGTCACACAGATGACGCCATCTCCATTGCTGTAGCCATCACGATTGTGGTGACTGTGGCTTTCGTGCAGGAATATCGCTCTGAGAAGACGCTGGAGGCGTTAAAGGAGCTAGTACCTCCGCGTTGTAAAGCTCTGAGGGATGGCACAGTGGTGGATATGCTGGCCAAAGAGCTGGTACCTGGAGACATTGTGATCGTGGATGTGGGAGATCGAGTACCAGCAGATGCGAGACTCATTGAGGCGGTGGATCTCGAGGTGGACGAGTCCAATCTCACGGGCGAGAATGCGCCTGTAGCCAAGATCACAAACTCTATTGCCGATAGCCATTTGCATCCAGTTGCAGAGCGTAAAAACGTGATTTATATGGGTACACTGGTGCGTGCTGGGCGTGGCCGAGCTGTTGTGGTTGGAACAGGGTCTCGCACTGAGTTTGGACAGGTCTTTGATGTAGTACACAACGTGGAGGAGCGCAAGACTCCACTGCAGAACAGTATGGACACACTAGGCAAACACTTGAGTATGTTCTCTCTCGCTGTGATCGCTGTGATTGTGGTTATCGGTGTTATTCAACACAAAGGTATTCTCACGATGCTGCAGATCGGAGTGTCGTTGGCTGTGGCTGCTATCCCCGAGGGTCTGCCGATCTGTGTGACTGTAACGTTGGCTTTTGGTGTCATGAAGATGGCCAAACGCGACGCTATTGTCAAGAAACTCCCTGCTGTTGAGGCTTTGGGATGTATCAATGTGGTTTGTGTGGACAAGACGGGCACGATCACGACCAACAAGATGGAAGTGATCGAGATTTTTGTCCCTTTCGAGAGTGTGACAGCCGAGGTGAACGGCGTTGGTGCGCGAGAGCGATCACTGTCGCAGCTTGAAATGATGAAGAAGAGCGCCCAATCGGCCGTGACTATGCGTGGTGAGCCTGTTACGGAGACATCTCACCCCCACGTTTACCACTGCTTGCTCTCTGGAGCACTGTGCAACAACGCGCACATTGTGGATCGAGAAGTGCTGGGCCAGGCCACAGAGGGAGCCGTTCTGCTGTGTGCGCAGAAAGTGGGGATCACTCCAGCAATTATTCAGCAGTTCCGTCGTGTCAGCGAAGTGCCTTTCAGCTCGGAAAAGAAGTGGATGGCTGTGTGCTGCGAGTCCCCGTCGGGTCGGTCGTCTCGCTGGTACCTAAAGGGTATGACTGAGACGATTCTGTCGCGCTGCGATAAGATTGAAGACAACTGTGGTCGCGAGAAGGACATGACTCCAGGTGATCGTGAACGAATCTTCGTGGCTTCTCAGCATATGGCGGCACGTGGCCTTCGTGTGTTAGCGCTATCTTTCGGTGAGCATTCGGATCGTGGCATGATATTTGCGGGACTTGTGGGAATCTCGGACCCGCCTCGTGCTGAGGTGGAGAAGTCTGTGCTGGAGCTGTCACTTAGCGGGGTAAAAACGATCATGCTTACGGGCGATTCAAAGGAGACAGCCATTGCGATTGCGACGAAAGTTGGCATCATTTCGAACGGTAATTTCGGCAGTGTCGACTGCGACGATGAGAGAAGCAACAGTGTGGACGAACTGGTGATATCTGGTCAAGAGCTGGAGATTATGGACATGAACGAATTGGAGCAGCGCATCTTAAAGACGTGTGTGTTTTATCGGACGTCTCCGCACCACAAGCTTAAGATTGTGCGCGCTTTTCAGGAGGCTGGACTGATGGTGGCAATGACTGGTGATGGCGTTAATGACGCACCTGCACTCAAAGCCGCAGACATCGGTATCGCTATGGGCACGAACGGCACGGATGTGTCGAAAGAGGCAGCTGATATGATTCTGCTGGACGACAACTTCAGTACGATCCTGTGTGCGATGGAAGAAGGCAAGTCGATCTACCACAACATCAAACATTTTTTGCGTTTCCAGCTCAGTACGAGTATCTCGGCTCTCTGCTTGATCGCGTTCTCCACGCTGTTTAATCTCCCGTCTCCGTTGAATGCCATGCAGATTCTATGGATCAATATCATCATGGACGGTCCTCCAGCACAGAGTCTAGGTGTTGAGCCTGTAGACCATGACGTGATGAAGGAAGGACCACGCTCTCAGGACGCCAGTATTATTACACGCACGATGATTCGTCGCGTGCTCACGTCCGCGTGCTTTATCGTGTGTGGCACTCTCTACGTCTTCTGGGTGGAGCTAAGTGCTGATGGCACGATCAGCAAGCGAGACCGGACCATGAGCTTCACGACGTTCGTCATGTTTGACATGTTCAACGCGTTGTCATGCCGGTCCGACGACAAGTCCATCTTCGAGATTGGCATCCTCTCCAACACGTTCTTCGTGTACGCAGTAGGCGCATCGCTTCTTGGCCAGTTGCTGGTCATCTACTTCCCACCACTCCAGGCAACATTTCAGACGGAGGCGCTTACACTTGGCGACTTATTGTACATCTGCTGCATCGCGTCGAGCGTGCTGGTCTTCGATGAAATCCGGAAGTGGTGGCAAGTTCGCATACTACGTGGAGCGATGCGCTCTGCATCAATCGCTGCTGGATTCAAGCCAAAGAAGAGGAAACAGTCGTGGGATAACGACGCAAAGGCGTTCGATACTGTTTAGATCAAGGAAAATGCAGCTTGTGTAATATGCTGATGCTCCATGCTTCCTGCACTCAAGAGATGAGATGCTATGAGAATTCGAGCAATAACTTTAACTAGGCAGAATGCTGCTTCATTATCGCTTATCAAATAACATATCCTTCTTCTAGTCTGATGATCTTCAGAGCTGTCGAACAACTGCTTGTACGCTCAGCAGAACGTCAAGCCCCACAAGTGCAACAGCACATGGTACATTAGCTGGGAACGCAGCTTCACTACAGTCGGCGTAATAGCTTCGAGCTGCTGTGAGGTCTCGCGGGACACCGTCGCCTGTCAGTAGCATCAAACCGCAGTTGAAACCAGCCTGCGCGTCTCCTAGTTCTGCTGCGAGTTGGTATCGCTCTAATGCGCGCCTGGGGTCGTTCGCGCACACACCGACCCACGGCCCATGAAAGCAAGCACCTGTCTTCCGGACAGCTTCCGAGTCATTTAACGCCGCCGCTTGCGAGTATAAGGCAAACGCTTCACGTAGCGAAGGATTACCCGAGTCTTCTACTGCCGTTCCAAGTCCAAGCCAGCGCCACTTGAGGATACTCTCGCCATGGTGTTCTAATAAGAAGGCAGCATTGCACTGTCCATCTTCATCACCAAGTTCTGCAACTAGTCGGTAGTGCAAGTACGCACGCACGTAGTCTCCTTTCTTGTAACATTCATACGCTTTAATGAGCGAGAATGGAAGTCCTGAAATGAGATCGGGATGTAGCGCCACCGCGCGGAAAAGCGGCAGAGCTGTGCGGCAAGAGCGTGGAGTGCCGATGCCTCGAAAGTGCATGACGCCCAAGTTAAACAGCGCCTGGCTGGACTGTCCATCTGTGCCGTCCACAGCCGCCTGGAAGTGATAAAAAGCCTCCTTGAAGTCAATTGGCACACCTCCGTCACCATGCAGATACACAGATCCCAGAAACGAGTGTGACTCTGCGTAGCCTAACGCAATGGCTTCTTCAAAGTACTCAAGCGCACGGGTCACGTTCTTAGGCACCTCATTTCCAGTAAAGTACAGCACACCGAGACCGTGGAAGGCAAACGCCTGGTTCTGACGAGCAGCACGGTTGAAATACACCAGTGCTTGTGGTACATCTCTCTCCACACCCAGCCCGTTAGCGAGAAGCATACCATAGTTAGCTTGGGCCAGCGGATCACCGGCTTCTGCTGCTTGACGGAAGTATTGCGCGGCCAGTCCATGATCTGCGGCGACGTGAGCTGCTTGGTTGCCAAAAAAATACATTTCTCCAAGACGCTGCATAGCTTGAGGATATTGTTCATCCATTGGGTTATTCGCAAGCCCACGGTAGTATTCTAACTCGTGCAGAGCTTGGTTCTCATCGTGAATGGGATTAGTGTCACCGAATCCGTACTCGTCAAAGAAGCCTCCTCCCGTGGGGTCAAGTAGCTCATCGGAGAGACGAGCGATCTCTACAGGACGCTCACCACCTTCATCGACAATAATATGCACGTTTTCTTCTGCACATTTGTGGAATAGAGGCAGAGCTGCTTCACAAACAGCCTCGGGGTCAGATGGAGTGCCTGCTGCATCCTTCGTCGTTATTGAAATTCTTCCGGACAAAGTACCGTACGCTACAGCCATTGTTGCCATAAAGTCTTTAACAGCAGATAAACTTGACAGCGCCTTGTCTGCTCGTGCTTGTCGTTCCTGTCGTGAAAGTGGCTGCACACTCGGATTCTCCAGCTCCTCGGGGTCTGGTACTCCAAGTAGATCCAGCATTGCTAGCACACCAAGGGCTGACTGCACTCCAGCCCCGGCTGCGATGTTGAGGTTGTGTATAGCGTCAACAAAAGCCTGCTCATCTAACGACTCCAAATTGGGCTCGAGCAGCTGCATGAATGACAGCTTTGTTACGGCAAAAGCCCAGTCGTCTGCTGTCTCTGGGTCACCAGCACCTTCACGGGCGCTTGCTATCTTTACCAACTGATCTACTAGTTCTGGAGTGTGCCCTTCCTCAGCAATACGGTCCTCTAAGGCCAGAAAAGTGTCGGACGCTTCCAGGAAGAGCTGAGGCGACCTGTCCGCTCCCCAGTCCTCGTTGGCTGCGTCCTCTGCCACATGGTGGACATCCTGTGCATTAACTGATCCATCCTGAGGCTGTTTTTGAGAAATGTGCGCGGGTGTGCTTTCGACCTCGTCGTATTGTACGATCCTCCAATGTCCGTTCTCGTCTCTTTGAATGTGTGTCCTGCTGCCTTCAAAGGGAGCTGGGACTTGCCGCTTGTTGGAGACGGAACCGTCGGGCTGAACGTCCCAGGAAACGACATTCTGTGTGTCTTCGTGGTCGGTGGAGTCCACCGAGGACGGCGCTGGGGAAGGATTCGTCGTACCAGCTTCTTTGAGAACCTGTCTGTGCTGTCGTGGGGGGACTACGGTGGCGGCAAACGATAAAACTGAGGCAAGGCAGAGTAGCGCGACTGAGTAGCGGAAGATATGAACCATGGATGAGAGTCGTGGGCAGCGGGGCGTCGTGTTCAATGGGTGGTAAGGCTGAAGCAGCGACATCTAATTGGGGAAAACGTCAGAACGTGTATCATCCTGAAACGTTTTGTCAGTATGTGTGAAACGTGTGTCAATAGGTGTATGGGCTGCCATCGGTATTGACAGTATGTGACAGTCTCAAAACAAACGCCAACAGGTGTATGAAAGTGAGGTTTGTGTGTCAAAATGTGTAGTGCACTATAGATCACTGGCCGAGAAGTGGCTACAGTGGGTTTGGTCCAAACCCACAAATCGCGACGTTCAGCGACCTACCTCCCACAGTCCCAGGGCAAACTCGCATACTTTGCGCTTCCATAAACGAATATTGCGACTGAGGGACAACAATGGATGTCGACGTGGATGATATCAGTGAGGGTAGCGACTCAAGCGGTTCAGCGTGCTTGACGGTTGGCATGGTATTTGAGTCAGCAACGGACGCTCTCCATGCTGTACAAGACTATGCTCTTAGCCTCGGAAAGGCAGTCAAGGTCAGGCAACGAAGTGGAGTCCACAGACTCATTGGGTGTAGCTCTGATGGATGCGAGTTTTCCGTGCGTGTGTATCGGAAACGTCGATCTGACAAGACGTATGGACCGTGGTACATTTCTTTAATTGCTAATGACCATGTCAGCTGTCTGTCAATCGCTAATCTAACCCGGAGGCAGATAACGGAGCTTCCAACTTTTGAAAGTGCTGTGCGTGCTGACGGCAGCGTCACAGCAGGCGCACTCATTGATCAGATCCAGTCTAGAGATGGAATTTCGCTTGGGAAAAAGCGACGAACACTTTACCGTGCCAAAGAAGCCGTTGATGACATCAGTAAGGAGGATCTAGTGCAGTCGTACAGCAAAATTCCAAGTTACCTCTCGAACTTTTCGGAGTTAAACCCTGGTAGCATCGCTCTAGCGGAAAAGGACTCATTGGGACATTTCAAACGAGCGATTGTGATTGTAAAGGTGTTTGCGGATGCTGTTCGCGCGCGTCAAGGAGTTGTTGGGGTTGATTGTAGCCATTCCGAATGCCCATCGTACAGTGGAGTGCAAATGCATCTCGTTGGCAGAGATGGAAACTTAAGGAACGTGACTATTGCCTTTGGCTTGGTGGAGGCGGAAGACTTTAACAACTACAAGTGGTTTTTTTCGACCTTGGATAAACACGGGTACAGCTTTCGAGGAGTTCCGATGTTTTGTGATCGCAGCGGCTCTCTAATATCCGTGGCGACTGAAATGCGTCTGAACCTAAAGTATTGTACACTTAACATTATTCGCAATCTCCTAGGGCGCTTTCGCAAGTTTACGCACGGACACAAGAATCTCGTTTGGTCGCTACAAAGTTCGGATACAAAAGAACTGTACACCAGTCGGCTGGAGTGGATTGGATTGGAACTCGGACCTGATGTGAAAAATTATCTGAGTGAAATACCCCCTGAACGATGGTGCGTGTATGCTAATATCGGTGAGGTCCCTCTGTATGGATGGAGAACTTCAAACTTTGTCGAGAGCGTATTTGGTACTCAGCTTGTGAAGGGTATGAGAAAGCTACCTCCGTATCGATTTATTCAAGCAATGTGCGGTTCTTTTGTTGACGAATGCTTCAAGCGATCCGAAAATGCTAGATTGTGGGCAAATAAAGGTTTCGTTTTGACACCTGGGGCCGAAAAGCTACACAGAAAACAGAGTGCAGACATTGGCCAATACTCGGTCCAACATGCTTCGAATGATTTGCTACGTCCACTCAGTATGCAGCTCAGTACGAATCCGACGCCGAGTGAATTTGCGGAACGGGACTTGTACGCGTAGCTACGTCGATCAAATGGGCATGCCGTGTAGGCACCTAATCGCGGCGCTTGAAAGTGTTGGCAACCGTTTGGACGTGTACACACACTTTCAGCCGTGTTATAAAGTGTCGGTGTATGCCAATGCATTTCACGCTAAAGCTGTCTTTATACCGCTAGAATCAGACATCACCCAGAGTTCCGAATGGCTACCTGCAGTTTTCACAAAGAAACCGGGACGCCCCAAGACGAAGCGCATAATAAGTGTTGGAGAGGACGAAAATAGAACTTCACAGAGCTGCTCAAGTTGCCATCAGAAAGGCCACAACAAGCGTTCATGCACGCAATCGGATAGCACATAACACATTTAAAAAGAGTGTCCCTCAGTCGCTATAGAGCAACAAAGAAGTCAATTTCGTGTTTTTTTGTTTTGTTGGAACATGTAGAAGGTCACTCAACTCCGGGTTTAGGTCCGTAATGAAAGGAAGTGCTTTGACTTCACGTCGGCTCTCCGCCCCAGTCTTCCCTACACGCGAAATACACGGGCCTCTGAAGCATGGCCCCCTCCAGAAGGAGGCAAACTCGCCAAGGGGCGCCGTTTTCATCACTCCACAGCGGTAAGCCCGCTTAGAATCTCGGACTGGGGCCCGCCTCTTCATGTACCGGTGTTTCCTGCTCTTCGCCTTGAAATACCCGACTTTAGATGAATGCGCAACGCATGAGATGCGCTCTTGCTCTGCGTACAACGGCGCAGTTCTCTTTGACAGCGCCACAGATCGCGCCATCTCGGCGTCGCTCACTTGCTGGAATGTGATTGTCTCGTAAATGGGCCGAGTCTTCTGTGCTGAACAATGGGTTTCGCCCTATTTATCCCCAAAACTTGTGACAGTACGTGTGCTCGGTTCAAACCTGCCGGTGACCATCACTCTAACTGGTTCTGTAGCCGCTTATGACAAACGTTTGCCCAATTGATACACGTTCTGACGTTTTCCCATCTAATTGGCCATAAAGTGAACTTCTAAGGAATTTAAACATCTTTGAGATCACAATTGATGTCACACTCGCAGACGACCGCTGGCTGTCAGCCAGTGGCTGATGTGTATTGGAAATCCCATTTGGGATTGTGCATGTTGAAATGGCTGCTCGTAGGAGGGTAACCAGTTACATATCGACCAAGAGGCGGTCGCTTCATGAGGAAGGAGAGCTGTAGATGTAACCAACGTACGAGAGAGAGAATGGTATCAAATACAGCAGTTCCGAATTCACAAGAAAGTCCTCAAGACCTTCATCCGTCTATCTCGGCGATAGACGCCTCTTTGTCTTGCTTAAGATCCTCTTTCTAACAGGGTTATGAGCCCAAGAGAACTCTCGCTCTAAGTTAACAAAATATGAGTAGTGAGGCTAAGACAGAATAACTCCCGTACGGTTGGGATGGCAGAGTTATAAATTGATCCTGCGGACAATCTTCCGTGAACACGACTTGTAACGGGGTACGTAGCCCTAAGTGTACCCTGGTTACATGAAGTATGACGCTTCACACTTCAGGTGTATGACACGTCATACCCCGGGATATTTGGTACAGGGTACCAAGGTCGTTCAAAGCCAACCATTGGTCAAACGACATTGCATTTCTAAAGGTAACTTATAGTTTGTATTAAACCCAAACCTAACCTACCTATAAATATACTCAGTTTACAATCTACCTTATTTAGGTCACTTCGCTCTCTTTAAATAAAGAGGGGACCTGTGAACTGCCGTTCACTGAGAGTTTGTATACTCTCGGAAGATAACTTCCTCTAGCGCAAGGTGCTGTGTGACCCCGTCACACTTGGTAGCACTAGTAGTCAATCCACGCCACCGCGGGTAGACTACCTGAACCTCTCCGAAGTTCGTTGCCATGGATAGGAACGACTTCTCCCATATGAACGACTCTCAGTTTGAGTCGGTTCGGAAGATGGCAGGAATCTTCGGGATGGAGGCCCTGCAGAGCCTGGTGGTGTCAACACCGGCTGAGCAGCTCGAGCGCGTCAATGCATTCGACGCGTACGAGCAGGGCCTCATCGCGCGTGTGCGGGAGAACCTGCAGGCTCCGGCGGCGGAAGCAAATCCGCCTCACTCGAAGCCAATACGGCTGAAGGTTAAGCCGTATGAAGGGAAGGAAGGCGAGAACCTTCACTTCTGGGTCCGAGAAGTAGAGCTCGCGATGGACGCGGCTCTGATCTCGACCGAGCAACTGCGTGTTGCTTTTGCACTCTCCAACCTTAGCGGCCGTGCTAAGAGTTGGGTGTACACACGGGAAGCAACATCCCCTGGATGTTTCACATCCTGGGCTCAGCTGTGCGAACAGCTCCGAGCCGCGTTCCTCCCAGCAAACTACGAGTACCGCCAGCGTTCGTGCTTCCTCGCGGTTAAACAAGGGAGGCGCGAACTGCACGAGTATATGCAAGGGATACGGGAGCTTACGGCGTCCCTAGTGGGAAACCCACTCAACGAACACATCAAGATGACTGTGTTCATGGACGGCCTTCGAGTGGGCCCCGCACGCACTCAGCTGTTCCGGGTGCAGTCAAGCACTCTTGAA